CAAGATGGTAGAGCCATCAGCGATACCAATCTTGGAACGCAGCAAGGCAAATCTGGAAGAGGAAAGTGGTTTGGTCAACCCATCAGCAAGTTGATCGGCAGAGGCAATGTGAGAGACATGAAGAATTTTCTTATCCACGAGGTCACAAATGAAATGAAGATCAATTGCTATGTGCTTCATACGAGAGTGCATGACTAGATTACTGCTGAGATAGGTGGCACCAACATTGTCACAATAAAGCACTGGTGGGGCATCAACTCGAATCCCAAGTTCAGTCAACAGATGCAGTACCCATACTAACTCAGAAGAAGCTGCTGCCAAAGCTCTATACTCTGCCTCAGTGGAACTACGGGCAATGGCTTTTTGCTTGCTAGCCTTCCAAGAGATAGGGGTAACACCAAGGAAGACAATATAGCCAGTAGTAGAGACCCGAGTGTCCTTATCACCTGCCCAGTCAGAGTCACTAAAAGCATGAAGAGCAAGTGTAGAAGTGGGCCGTATTAGTAGCCCATGGAACATGGTGTTCTTTAGATATCGGAGTATGCGTTTGACTGCCTGCCAGTGCATCTTAGTTGGACAATGCATATACTGAGATAATTTATTAATAGCAAAAGAGGTATCTGGACGAGTTAAGGACAGGTACTGCAAAGAGCCAATGAGTTGCCGATAAGCTGTGCCATCAGGAAGTCGTGGAGAGTTGGTTTGCGAAGACAAACCAGAAGTGGGCATAGGCGTGGCAAATGGTTTGGCACCATCCATTTTGTGCTTCTGCATGAGATCATTAATGTATCTATGTTGAGAAAGAAATAAACCAGCAAAGGTTTTAATGGCTTCTACACCCAAGAACAAACTGAGGTCACTAAGGTCCTTCAAAGAAAACTTCTGCCCTAACCTGTGAATCAACTCGGAGATAAAAGTAGCACTATTCCCAGTAATCAAGATATCATCAACATAGACTAGCACATAGACAACAATTCCAACATTATTATAGATGAACAAAGAGCAATCAGAACGAGAATTAACCAGACCACATCCAAGGAGGAACTGTTTCAATTCAGTGTACCAAGCCCGTGGAGCTTGCTTAAGGCCGTAGAGTGCTTTCTTCAATTTACAGACATGATGAGGAAGATTGTGATCAATAAAACCTACCAGTTGAGCCATGTACAGGCCCTCCTCAACCTTGCCATGGAGAAAGGCGTTGTTCACATCGAGTTGCCGGATTGACCAAGCTTGACTTACAACAATGGTAAGCACAGTGCGAATGGTGGTTGGTTTGATGACCGGACTAAAGGTGTTGGAATAGTCATGGCCAGGACGTTGATGAAATCCTTTTGCCACCAACCAAGCCTTATAGCGCTCAATATCACCATTTTTTCCCCTCTTTAATCTGAAAACCCATTTGCAACCAATAACATTTTGAGTTGGAGATGGCAGAACTAAATCCCAAGTGCCTTGCCAAACCAGAGCATCAAATTCCTCTGACATAGCCCTTCGCCAATGGGGATGACACACGGCTTGGCTCACACATGAAGGCTCAACCGGGACTGGGAGGGGGTGTTTGGTGGCAAGGTGCATTTGTTTGGGTTTAAAGATGTTGTTTAAGGACCAAGTGATCATTGGGTGAGTGCGGTGGGTGATGGGCGGTGGTGGGAGAGGGGAAGACAGGGCTAACCCAGGTGAAGCAGATGCGGTGGGTGGTGAAGCTGGACTCGGTGGCACAGAGGAAGGAACAGGGGACGGGGAGGGAGGGGGCAGGGCGATGACAGGGAGAACAAGAGAATTACCTGAGCAGGGGGGAGACCGAGCTAGATCTGGACTGCAAGCAGAGGGGGGCGAGTCGTCCTGCAGAGGAGGGATGGCAAGATCCGGCAGAGGGGAAGCGACAGCAACGACAGAGGGCAGGGAGGCATGTAAGGTTGGGCAGGGATCACTGGAAAGAGCTAGAATTGATGCCGGTGATGAAGAGGCTGGGGGGATGGTGGGCCGAGGATGAGGTAAAGAGGAAAGAATCGAGACTTGAGGTTGGGTAGGATCGGGATTAGCCGGATATGGGAGGGTAGATTTGTCATTGAAGACCCGAAATGGAAAGAAATCCTCATGAAAAATAACATGTCTTGAAATAAAGATTTTATTAGATTGGGGATCAAAAAACTTATAACCTAAATGATCAACAGAATACCCAACAAAAATACATTGATGGGATCTTGCTTGGAGTTTATTTTGAGTGTATGGACCCATCAAGGGATAGCAAGCACATCCAAAGGTTTTGAGTTTTAAATAATTTGGAGAAATAGAAAAAAGTTTTTGAAATGGTGATTTGAAAGACAAAACAGGAGTGGGTAAGCGATTTAGTAAATATACTACAGTTTGAAAAGCATGAGACCAAAATTGAGGTGGTAGAGAGCCATAATGAAGTAAGGCTAGACAAGTCTCAACAATGGTCTTAACAATGGTCTTGTTCCTTCTTTCACAAAGGCCATTAATTTCTGGAGTATAAGGTGGAGTGGTAAAATGAGAAATACCATTTTGTTGAAAATAATTTCGAAGGGCAACATATTCCCCACCCCCATCAGAGTATAAATTAATTATTTTACGCCCAAATTGATTTTCAACTAATGACTTGAATTTTGGGAAAATTATTGAGACATCTAATTTTTTTTGGATTGGATATAACCAAACATAACGACTGTAAAGATCCACAAAAATAACAAAGTACTTGTACCCATCAATAGAAACAGTGGGTGCAGGACCCCAAACATCAGAAAAAATATATTCAAGAGGGGCATGGTTGGTAATAGAAGATTTTGAGAAAGGAAGTTTGTGGCTTTTAGAACAAGAGCATGAATCACAATAAAAATCATCAGCTTTATTTATTAATGGCAAGTTAATAACACTGAGAATTTTTTTGAATATTTTGGAAGATGGGTGTCCCAGCCTTGCATGCCAATTTATTGCCGATGTCCTCTCCCCAAATTGTGCCATAGGTAGTTGTTTAGTGGGACCCATTGGAGGAACTTGGTACATCCCATGCCGGTTTGGCCCTGGCAGTAGTATCGCCCCCGTGTTGCGATCCTTCACCAAGAAAAAATTTGGGTGAAATTCAACAATGGAATTTGTAGTTTTGCATAATTGAGATACAGAAATAAGATTGTGAGAGGCGGTAGGTACACATAAAACATTATTTAAAGGAATAGGTGATGAGGGTGTTGTGAGAGTGGTATGGCCAACATGAGTGATTTGCAAACCTGAGCCATCTCCAATTAATAGTTCATCAGGGCCATTATATTCGGAGTGGAGTGCCAAGTTTGACAGATTTGTGGTGATGTGATTATTAGCACCTGAATCAATCAACCACCCATTAGTACTTGGACTGGTAGATGCTGCATAGTGAGCCGTGGGTCTATGGCCTTGATTCCGAAATAGATAACAAGTACGAGCTGTATGCCCAAATTGGTTGCAAAGTTGACAAGAGATATGGGGTCTGCCAGTATTGGGCCGAGTTGGGCCGCCTCTTCTTTTGTTGAATTGGTTTGGCCTGTTACGCCCATTACCTCTTCCTCCTGCCAAATGTTGGCCTGATCCAAATGGTTGGATACTTTGTGGTAGTGGTAGGATTCCTGCACCATTGGACTAAAGAGAAGTATTTGAGAAACCAGAATTTGTTGAAAGATTAGGAGTATTACCAGCGGGCTTTCTTATGGGCATGGCAACAAAATGAGCAGTCACCGGTGCATTTTCAAGTCGGGTTTCTTCCCGGTGCATGCTTTCTTCATGCGCAACTAATCTGTCATGAAGCTCTTCAAAAGAAAGTGGCTCATCTCGAGTGCGGAGTGAGGCAAAGATCTCACGAAATTTCAGTCCTATCCCGTTGAGAACATACACCGTCAGATCATCGTTGGTGAGGGGTTTGTCTATGGCAGCAAGTTCATCAGCAAGCACCTTGAGTTGATGGAGAAATTCGGTGACAGTGCGGCCTTCACAGCGAGTATTCTAGAGGCACTCCTTGAGTGTAAAAACTCTAGATCTTGAGTGGTTTGCATAGAGATTAGCCAGGATTCTCTAGGCTTGTTGTGAGGACTCTGCTGTAGATATGTAGGGGGTAATTGATTCCAAAACCGACGTGAGAATGGCATGCCGGATTGATTGATCCTGGCGAGTCCATAGTTCAAAGGGTGAGTCGGGAACCTCTCCAGTTGGTGGCGGCGGGCAAGGTTTGGATCCATTGAGATAGCCAGTTAATTTGTAGACAGTGAGAATAGATAGAAAGTGTGCTCGCCAGGATGGATAGTTGCTGGGAGTAAGTTTAAGAGGAAAGTGAGCAGCGACATTGAAGGTGATTATGGTGTTTTGTCCTATAGGAATGGCAGCATTAGTGGAAATGGGAGAGGTAATGGTTGTGGAGGATTCACTGGCCATTGATAGTGCTC